TCGGATGCGCACGATTTGATCAGTAATATCAGTTTCCTAGAAATCCAGTTTCCTCGAAATGTGCAATACATACTACGAGAGCTTGAAATATCCTGTTTCGGAAAAAAGATGTGCAAATATGAAGCCATTATCCCCCGATCCAACGACACGTTATGCTATGGCTTTGATTTCTCCTCTGTGAAGCTTACCTCAGTAGCCCTTTTCCGAAGCACCTTTTGGCTTTGGGAATGGGAGTATCGCATGATCCACGTGACGCACTGATTTAAACTTCAATCAATGCGCTTTTCGGTAGTATGCCCTTGCCCGCTGGGCCAGTCACAAACGTTCTATCACTCGCACCAGTAGATGCGCGCACGGTGGTTATTATGACGACGGCGGCCGCGAAGTGAGTGCTGTTACGAAGCGTTGACAGCGTAATTTGGGCTCGAAAATAATGGCAATTGATATCGTTATGTCAGGACGGTGCTGTAGTGGCACTGCCTTTCGGTTTGGCTACCAGCTCTTCAGCAGTTAGCTGGTGTTGCGGCATGGACAACGTCCCAATATTTACGTGTGGGTGCGGTGTATGATAACATGTGGTTGCTGCACGCCGTACCATCTCGGAATGGCCAGTGATGGTAGGGACGCTCGCCACATTGCGTATTCGCGTTTGAGCATCACTGTAGTCGAGCGGAACGACGCAATCCATCACGCCGACCTCTACACGGAGCATTAAAACAAACTGTGTGCGGCCATGGACCAAGTATGAACTGTGCCAAATGTATGTCCTTCGCCAGAACATGACGTGATGCCACCTCAATTTATATTATATGGATGACCATCGTAGTCGTTACGCCACGAGGCCCGAATCGTCATCATATATCATATGCGCTAGTGTGCCAGAGCGCTGGTAGCTTCCGATCCTGCAGCCTGTGCCGGCACGGGTGGACCTTAAATATATGCGAACGTAGTTATATACGTTTGATTATCATGTGCCAGCTTGTCCCCCATCTTGAACTTCACATAACATGCCAACTTGCTCCATTGTCGTTTCAGCCGACCACCCGTTGATCGTGCAATTTGCAGCCAACAACCCCAGTGACTTCGCTAATGCCTCGGAGCTAGTGTCCAGGTAATGCTCCGTTTCTGGTTTTTAAACAGTACCTTGATCTATTGCTAGTTGCCCAGTTTCTTCAGCTTCTGATCTATTACTGCGCTGCCGTTTTTTTTCTTATCGCCGGAGGAGTTAATGTTCGCTGTTTTCCATAGCATATAATTTTGTCACATTGTATGCCTGTTCTATTTTCTCTTAAGTAGATGCATGGTACTGCTATTCAAAGATACCTGAGAATGGAGATTTATGCGGAACAGCGGTTTGTGTTACTTCGTCATGGTTGTGAAGATGCATTGTAACTGACGACACGGTTGCTAGGAGCCCTGTCCTGATATCGTAACGTGTCCACAGTTCCTCCGGTTCCGGACTGACCCATGACCTGTTGTGATCAGGTCGGGGTTACCATCACGAGGCCCGTACCGTCCGCAGGTGGTGTCAGGGTGTTGACCTGAACTGTGGCTGCCCGCAGCGCTGGGCCCAGCAGGAGGGCATCGGCGCCTGCCTCATTCACAAGCCCCAGCTGGTGTATGATATCGTGAGGCAGACGAGAAACCGGATACCAGACAACGACTTCACAGTCTCCGTGAAGATACGGGTACACAAAGACGTCAGGTGAGTGAACTGGGCGGTCGTGCTCCCCAACGTAATCATACCGCACTAAGCCACTTTTCGCGTTGTTCGCCAATGCAACCTGTTGGTTATTGAGTTGAAGGGCGTATCAGCTGCCTTGGTTATTTGCACCGCAATGATTACCAGCTGAGTGAACAAGGAGAGTAAACTAAAATCACCTGGTACAGAGCCAATGGAACAATCTGCTTATGCATTGTTCTGGGGGTATTGGTGTTGTCTTGTCACCGTATTACTGTGTAAACCAATTTTCGCCATCGTGTGTGCATGCAAACGCGATGAACGGAGCAGCCAACGTACAACTGCCGTGCGGTGTTCGTCCTCGGATCGTCGTGTGTCAGGCAATTGAGCGTTGTGCCGCCGCCGCCGCCGCCGCCGCCGCAGGGAGACGGTGGAGCTGTGCCGGCGGGCCGAGGCGGCCGGCGTGGCGTTCGTCACCGTGCACGGCCGGACGGCGCAGCAGCGGCGCGAGCCCGTCCAGCTGGACGCCATCCGCCAGGTGGCCGACGCGCTGCGCGTGCCCGTGCTGGCCAACGGCGACATCCGCTCCCGAGAGGATGCGCTTGCCACGGCCGACGCCACCGGCGTGAACGGTAGGAACGCGCATGTGCCGTCCTCCAGTGCATAGCTCGGTTAGATACAGGCGAAAGGGGCGCCATACTCATTGACCCCCCTCTTATCTAATGTATGAAAGCGGGCTTTCAAACTGTCGGACAATGTGTCAGTGTTTAAATCAGTCAGGTGAACCCGTGGTATTGTATTTTAGCATTCCACGGGATCATCATGAGTTTTTATATCGATGATGACTGTCTCTACATTCAGCCTTAACTCCATTCTAATCGGTTTTTTTTTCTCTCGGTCTGTTTTCTATAAAAAATCCCCCTAACAATTCCGCACCCCCCCCATCCGGTGCACTCCGCGCCTTTCATGGAATAGCCGGACCTTTGAAAAGAGGCGGTGCATACTGAAGATGGACACTGGGAGGGAGAGTGGGTATGTTCATGGCACCCTCTCCGGCCACCGGCCAGTGCTGAGTGCGCGCGCGTCTCTGTGCACAGGCGTGATGGCGGCGCAGGGCCTGCTCAACAACCCGGCGCTGTTTTCGGGCGCGCCCAGCACGCCGCCCAGCTGCGTGCGCGACTGGGTGCGGCTGGCCACCGACGCTGGCACGCCGTTCGCGTGCTTCCACCACCATCTCATCTACATGCTGGAGCGGCTGATGCCGCGCGTGCTGCGGCGCAGCTTCAACGTGCTGCCCAGCCACGCGGCGGTGCTGCAGTTCCTGCGGCACGAGCTGGAGCTGGACGTGTGAGGCGGGGCGCGCCGCGGAGGAGCGCCGGGGTCTGGCGGCCGGCGCGGTGGTCTGCAGCGAGCGGGGCGCATCGGCACGTGGGTCCCGACGGCAGCAGGAGCCGGGGCAACCGGTGATCGGTACACGCGGTGTTTGCGTTGCAGTGTGTTGTGAGGAGGTCAGGTCAGGTGTGGTGTGACGGACGTGCTGTGGGACTGCCCGGAGCGTCTGTCCAGACTTGGTTTTGTCTTCTGGCCAGTACTGCGACCCTGCAACGGTGTGTAATGCGGCAGACAGGCCGGCTGCAATGCTGCCTCATCATCCTATCGTTCGCCATTTTGCACTGGCCGGCGCCCGTTTCCCTACATTTTTAGGTGTGAATGATGAGCGATCTGAACACGCCCTCCCTGGATATTTGCATCCTATGATCGCGACTCAGTCAGAGGTTTGGCGTGACACGAGCGATACATTTTTGGCGACATTTTATGACCAGTGTTACACACTGGGCGTGAATGTTTATCGTTAATACGGTCTCTCAAACACAGGGAGGTGAAATACAATGTATCGCGGTGTATTTTTACGTTTTCGTTGCGTTTGCCCTATTTTGAATCAAGAATAAGCGCAAAGTGTTTTAAACAATTTCGAAACAGTATTAGTAACGTCAGCCTCGTAGTGTTGTCAGTATCAAAATCAGTATCAGCAGCATTTTCTCGAAAGTCCGGTGAATTTGTTTGATTTAGATATGTTGCAGAAAAGCCTATTTGCACGTAGTGACTTGCTTGATTTTCAAGTGGAGGGGGGGGGGGGGGGCGGGGAGGGTTAATTTGACACCCCTGAAACATATAAGTATGTCGGGCCCACCTTGCCGTTCGAGGGCTCAGTCTGACACCAGTGAAGTGGAACTCCCATTCGACGCGCAAAGATATAAAGCATTTTGAGAATGTCACACGTGGGGGCGCAGAGGTAAAAACACTGGACATGCATTTGATGAACATGTAGCATGGTGCGTGTAAAACAAATCGGTAAAAAGCGCGTACATAGTTACCAGCAAGGGAAGCGTGCCATCTTCTATGTTTGACGATGGCCTGGTACGTTTGATACGCATACGGAAAAGAATGCCACGATGAACAGATCGCCGATACATGGACGCTGGTGTACGTGTAACACTTAACATCCAGATATCTGTCTCCCGTCGGTACTGCTAAACAATGCTCTTGCTCGTGCCTACGCGCAGGGCGCGCGTAGGCACGAGTAGTTGTCGCATGAAGCATTATTGTCAATGTATTTGCCGATGGCAAAAGAGCAGAAGTAATGCCCGATTGCTGAACCCTGAACCGGGCTTTTTATGCTTGCTACATCTTCCCCTTATCTGCTTTCCTGGTGCCGCCTCTACATGCGCGATTTTGCATTTTGTGCACGTTTTACTTGCATTTATTCGATTAGCGCAAGCTGTCGATAGCATCCACTAGGAAGGTTGCCTTTTTTAAATCGTTTTGCCTGGGTCATGTGGGCAGTCTAAATGTTTAAACCCTCTTATTATTTCTGGCCACGCCCGTGGCAGCTCGCATGCACCACACGCCAGCAGGACCACTTCTTCACAGGAAAAGTGCCTTCTTTAGGCTGCTGCCTATGACGACGAAGTGCTCAGATCACAGACAACGACCATGCTCCAAGCCGTAGGACCTGCTGTTTGCGCACTGATCTGGAGTGCATGGGCTGCAACGTGTGGCCGCCTGGCAGCGGGGATGCGGCCCAGCTGCTGATAGGTCAGTGGCGTTGTGTCTGGACGTCGCATCGTAGGTCAGCCCTTCGGGGACAGGGGTGGACGTTTGTGGGCCGGGTTGAACCGGTTAAGCTAAGCTAAGGCAAGGCACGAATTTGAAAAGTGGGGGCCTAAAAAAATTGGATATTTGGTGCGAATCTTAAATTGGTGTTTATGCATCCTTCACCTGTGATGTTGGTGCTCGTCAATACTGGGTTGAAATTCACTGACTGTGTGGGCCATTTCTTGAAAAACATTCTTCAGTCGCACCAGAATTTTGCTTTATGAGAAACGCGGATTGGGTCGGACCGGATCGTGCTGATATTACATCGACGCATTATCTGGCACGGAACAGGATACTCAACGCTGACACGGACCGACATAATGCCGCCATTGAACCGGCTACGACAAACTTCCGCGCCTCCGCAATGCAAGAAACTTACGCCGCCAGCCAATGGCGAAGGATGTGATTCTGAACACCCAGCGCTGCACAGATCGGTCCTGCAGTCCGCAAATCCGTGTGAGGCTGTTCCACTTCAGCTTGCGGGCTCCCTAATAGGCTTTATATAACTCGATACGCAGGCGCGGCTGCGTAACACTTCCAACATGCTTGGCTTTCTGACGCCATCGCCCGTACAATTTTACGAGGCCACCGAAACCAGAACGAGACCAGCTCGACACCGCTCAGCGTCCTGCGAAATACGAGCGTTTCGCAAAGCTCATGTATTCAACACTTTAAACTTCATCAGCTCAATGTGCATGACGTTTCCAAAATTGAGACAATTCTCGCAACTCGTTGGGTTCCCGCCATGTCTCAACAATGCCTTGACCTCCAGACACCTTGCTATTGACCTCCAGACACCTTGCTATGCAAGCCACGTACCGAACCAACAAGTTCTGACCACCAGCAATAACCGGAAATTAGCGGAAACTAGCGGCGCTTACCGTACGTAGCTTTCAAAGTAATGCGAATTTGATCATGTATTGGAGGTGCAATTATCACAAACAACGGATATTTGGCAACTCAACAGTACCCTATGTACAGTGTATGTGTATGCGTGTGTGTGCGGACAACCACGACTCCAACGTCGGTCAAACAAACCGCGTGGCCGACCAGGATAAGAACGCCCTTGGTTTAGACATAAATGAGATACTCTGTAGTCTGAAAGACTGCACTGGAAGATGGCGTTGATGAACAAACTGGGGCACGGCCATGAGACTTCACGAACCGAACGAAACAATCAGAAAAAAGACATGGTTGGGGTGACCGGTCGGTCCATTCTGGAGTATGCATTGCCATCCCTGTCGTGGGGTCACAACTTGCTCGGAACAATAGCACGCGCGCGGCGTACGGATACGCGCTAGGAAGTACGGACCGACAAGCGACTATAAGCACAAACGCCAAGCAGCCTAATCAATGATAACGTAAGGCAACATGGACAGTACGCCTCCGTCGCACGTAGATGCCGTAACAACTTGGTGCCACTCCCTGAACTCGCCCTCGTGGTTCGTATTGCCGTTAATGTTCTCTAGGCGGTGGCCGGCATCGAGGTGGGCGGGGTCGATGGCGGTCCGCGCCGCCGGCTCGCCATCCCCCTCCGGCTCATCGTCGCTCCACACGATCGCGCTCTCGTCGAGCGGCGGCAGGCGCGCCAAGATCTCTTCCTCGGTCGGCCAGGGCCGCGGCGGCTCGGCCGGCGGCTCGCCGGCGCCCACCTCCTCCGCGGCCTCCACCTCCTCCAGGTCTATCGTCTCGATCGGCTGCGCCGGCCGCCGCTTGCCTCCCTGCCAGTTGAGAAACTTCTGCATGTGCGCCGACTTGTTGCGCGTCAGGTCGTGCGGCGGCTCGCGGCGCGGCGGCGGCGGCGGCGGCTGCGCGGCCGGAAATTGCGAGGCGCGCCGCGCCAGCGCCGAGTCGCCGCTGCGCTCGGCCAGATCCGACAGCAGCTGGCGCGTGGTCTTGACGCGCGGCGTGCGCGCCACCGACGCCAGCTTCTCGGTGAGGTCGTCGAAGGAGGCCACCTCGGCGGCGGCCGAGCGCGAGCGGCGCGGCTTCTTGGCCGGCGCCGCCTTCAGCGCCGGAGGCACTTCAGAATTGATTTCCCCTGAGATACTATCTCTACTGCACTCGTCCTGCACGCCGTTGAAGCACGGCCGCTTGTCCGACCTCTCGCCGCCGGCCGGCTCCGCTTTCCTCTTGCGCTTGTTGGCCACGTCCGTTTTGTCGAGCGTCTGAGCCGGCGGCGGGGAGTAGGCCGCCTGGTGGGCGGGCGCGGCGGCCGGCGGGCGCGGCCAGCTGCCCAGCGCCGGACTGATGGGCTGTAGCGTCACGTTCCGCACCAGGCCGGGGCTTAGCTTGCTCAGACCGGGCGTGGTGGAGCGCGACAGACACGGGCTGGTGTTGGCACTAGACGGGTAGGAGCGCGGACTGGCGCCGGACGGGCTACTCCGCCGCACGGCTGTCGGCGCCACCGGCGCTGGCTCCGGCTGCGGGATGACCATCATGCCACGCCACCGACGCACCAGCGCCTTGGCCCGCTTCTTCAGGCTGGTGTCCTCCGTCTTCTTACGTAGCTCGTTGATGTGCTTTCCCAATCTCGTGGCCTGAAACAAGGCGGCGGTCAATGGCCGTCACCAGGTCCACACTGATACCACATGCTGCACTGACGGCGCTAATATGACGCGCAAGTTTATGGACCACAGAGCATGCTGGTGTGTCACTTCCAATGAGTTCTAGGATATTCACAGAGATGAAGGCTGCTAATAACAGTTAACACATTACCCTTGATTCCACATATACTGAACAAAATCAGAAACACTAGAAACACTTGGAAACTGTTGCAAACAGATCACTAGGTGCTGGCAACATTCTAGAAAACGTAGTGTTTCCAGCATGCATGTGTAAAATTACCATGAAGCTTAAAACAGGATGTCGCCTGTTACTGACTACAGTCAACAACCAATGGACCAAGAAATAGGCTCATGGTGTGAGGTCATGGTGTAAGATCAGCTCAAAATGTTATATGACGATGCAGAGCTGGGATGAAATAACTTCCAACGACATATGAAAAAAACAATTTTTACGATTTGTTTAGCTGCTGTGTGCACGCCAAATGTAGTCGCCGGCCAAACGGGCAGCTTACCTCCAAGGCCTCCAGTGAGATAGGGAGCTGTTCGAGGATACTGATGACGTCCAGTACCACCGCCATATCAATGACCTGCAACAGAACAGCAGGGCTGGATTGACAGAACGCACTGGGTTTGGAGCTCACGACGGAAAACACGTTAGTATGTGCATGCAGTGCGATTGGAAGGCTGAAAATAGAGAGAGCTAAGCATGCCCAGACCGTTTAACCCGTACGTGCGTTATCTTAATCCGCAGCAAAAAGACGGATGGAATATTGTGATCGACCATATTCAGATCCAGGCCCTTCTGGATCTAGTTCATCCTCGCCCAGCACAAATGATGGCTCATCCTCGTCCGGGACAATGGTAGTGACAAATGAAAGCTGACTAAAAATCGTCTGCCGTCAGATGCGACGGACTGGAACAGACGACACCGGCAGAAAGTTATCGCATGTGGATAGCGCATGCCCAGCACTGATCGGTATCCTTACAACTGTGTTAAAACGCCTGAAACCGTTCCGGGAACTGGATATTCACAATAGTTTCTGATACAGTTAAGAACTGGGATTTATTCAAATACCTTATATGAAGTTACACCTCTGACCTTTGTGACACATTTGACCCTCCCCAACTTCTGTGGTTTTGCAGCTTTCAGCAGCATGGGTTGTTGGGTGCATCTTAACACACGATGCTGATTCTACACAAAAGCAGTCAATGCTTGTTATTTGAGTAACATACAAAAGGAGAGGCTTCTAGGCCCAAATAAGATTTTCAACTGGTTCTCAGCTCGTTGAATTTGTTTTCATGGTCCACATCCAAGGCAAGGTCAAATGAGGTCAGATCAGACTCAGCATCTCTGCACAGCCTTTAATACGTCTCCGGAAGGTAACTGGTTCATGGCAAGATACGCTACCATTACCCTTCAAAAGGATTGATTTGAGGTAATTCACGGCCGTATATGACCTTGTACCTGCATCTCTTGTAAAACAATGGCTTTGGGTCACTCCTGAAAGCCCAGACATTGCATCAACCGAGGTTGGTTGCGACTAGTCAGTTTTCGGGTCGGCGGCTTGGCGCCTAGCCAAGTTTGTGACCGAGGGATGGTTAATGACTAATGCTGTGTCGCAGAATTTCCTTCAATTTTCTGTCAGCAGTGGAAAATACATCACTCACCATTCAAATGTGGTGTCACCATATTAAATTTACTCTGATACTACAAGAGCAAAGGCAATTATGTAACGGTTTGCTAGTTTCCCCGAGGTCTTGGCAGACATGACTCTGCATGTTCACCAGCTCCACGGAAGACAGTTGGACATGTAACTGGATGGTTTGGGACTCGCGTCGCCAGCGTGGAATTCAGAATAGCTGTGCTTGTTGCATGCATAGTATCACCTATTTGCCATGTGACTGCTCATCACTTCACATTCACGGCCCGAGTGCGGAGACATCACCTGCACGCAGCTTGTTGTCAGTAACGCACCAGTGTCAACCAATTTTCTGTATTTTTGCACTGACCAGTGATACACTGTATTGACAGTGACATACTGCACACGGAGTAAACAGTGAAACACTGCACTGACACCCAACACTGATGTACTGTACTGGTGGTGACAGTGACACACTGCATTGACAGTGAACAGCGACACACTGCACTGACAATGGACAGTGACACACTGGTACACTCCAATGACACTGAACAGCGTCATACTGTATGTACGTCATACACATCGCTGTAATGCTGGTGTAGGAGTGAAGATGTGTTCCTCCGCCCTCCATTTGACAAAGCCAACGCATGTCTAATCGCATATATCAATTGCTGTGTACATATTAGCTGACGTGCGAAGCTTTGCATCCAGACACAGATAAATATCACTGATATACCTGTGCTGGCGACCCACAATCCACCTCACACTGTTTGAAACTTCCCTTTTTCAAGCATGGGAGCCGTCTCTCTCACGTTACTTTTGCTACATGCAGGGTCACATATCATGAGATGCAACTGCCTCGTGCGCCGGGAGTATCAGCTATCTCTGTGGACGCATGATAGTGCGTACAATATCAGGGAGACCATCATGCTCGCACGAGTGTCAACTTTCGCTGGAGGTCTCCCCCATTGTCATTCCTGTGAATGGCATGTAGTCAAACTTCGATAACACACGTACAATTTGGTTTATTTATTACAACCCGAAGGGAGGGCGAGGGGGGGGGGGGCGGAATCTGTGGCGTTGGCAAGTGGGAGCTTTTGGTGCTATGTTCCCTCCCACCTAACCCGGACGTGGCGGCCCCTGAGGGCGAGGACCCATTAATTTCTGATGATAGTAACAGCCACAGGGCTTCCAAAACGTAAAAAATGGGTCTGGGGGATCCATGTAGGATTGCGAGCCCAATAAGGTTGTTTAAACCACCAAAACAGGCACCCTAGAGCGCCTAACAGCAGTCCCTTACCTAATGGATCTCTATGACCCGATTTGTTCCCCTCCGGGACAAATGCTGGCTACGCCACTTGAGGGGGGGGGGGGGGGGCGGGGTCCCCATGCTCGGAAAAGGGCCAGAACCCCAAGAACCCCAAAATAGTGAGTTGCAGCATCCTAACACATTACTCCCGGGCGAGCAATCCCTTCAATACTAATGCACGCTGGAGTAGCCAGCCACAGGACCACACACAGCTTAGGCTTTGGCTTCGCAAGGCAGAGGTTTATTCCAATGGCCTCGGGTTCAGCTTCAGTGCAGTATTTTTCAGTGGCTAGGTTAAGCTTCCACTTCAAACAATCTTTGAAGTAGAGCTCAGGTATCACCTTCATGCAATCCATATATGACTATCAGATGCATGCATCATCAGAGCTGATAATGCATGCATCATAATACCTGTCAATCACCTTCATCTCATGCTGGCTATCAACCTCATGCTGTCAATCATCTCAACCTCAATCACCTCATCTTGGCTTCAGCCTAGTCATGGCTGTTTTTCACTATAGTTGGGACTTATCTCCGCAAAAACGTTTTCTTGTCTCATCACAACATACCACACAATTTTTTTGAGGCTGCGACACGCCCATAACTGAAAGTAAAAAATAATCAGGTCATCAATACCAATGACATCTCAGAACGCCCGGAGAGCCAGCTGTGTAAGATCAAAGAACAAGTAAGACGAGCGGACAACAAATTACCGCGTACTTGCTAATTACACAGGACCAGGGCGATGGCTGGATTAAAACCTGTCATTCGCCGCGATCTGTTACCACCTCGTCTCGATCACCTCCCACAATCCTGATGTTTTCTGATCCCATATACCTTTAGAAATTGCGGTCATGAGTTCGGGTCTCGCAAAACGTCGCGCGCTGGATTTAGGCCTGACTGGTCTCAGCTTCAGCCTTGTGATTCTGAACTGAGTGTTCTGCTTTGCATGTGGTTTTGGAGCTCATTTCATGCCTGCGAACTCTGAAGCTGTTGATTTCTGCTTTGGACCTCAGGTGAAAAAAGTAAAAAGTAAAAAAAATCGTGGGCGTGTGCAAAGGACAAACTCACTGGCTTCGAATTCCGCCCCGGGCTGTAAAAATACGAAACTTTCACCTTTAATTTCACAGTTACAATCTTCAAAGCCATTGCCTTTGGCTTCTACTTTGACTTTGACTTCATGCTATAGCCTGGCTCGGGAGGTTTTGAACCTGAGAGTCTGGCTTGATCCCCATGTCTGATAGCAGTATACCATACCCAAACAGGTATCAAACAATGTTGGGTACTATTTCTGCTATTCTGACTTAACCATTAACATGCCATACATGATAAGAAACATCTTGACAAGGGCAAATACTCAAGACAAATGCTTTTGCCTAAATAGGAACTCAAGAAACTTGTACATTAGTGAAGCCTGGTCGAGGGCACAGAGCTCGAGTTGTTGGTGCATTGAACTTCCACAGGGGGGGGGGGGGGGGGGGGCGAATGGGCGAATTCCGAGGTTATGCCATGATGGCTGAGCACTGAAATAACTAAGTTGGTGACACTCACTCCATAAAGGCATTTCATGATGTGCATCATGTTCAGTTTTTTAAGTTATGGCAGGTCAAAAGAAACTGCAGGACCACACCTTGTGATGTCTTAATCATTCATTGCCATTGCCTGAACATAACCAAAACATAACATAAAACATGGTAAAACATGAGTTGACGCCTCAGATTGCATGCTGACTTGACATCTCAACTACCACATGTCTCTTTGACTTGCTTTTTTCTGGGCAGTGTTAACACCCTACCAAGCAAAAACCCAAAACTAGAGGACCCTGCAAGATAAGTGGAAGTAAATGCAAACCAAACTCAAGGCTTTTCACTGTGGCAAGCCAAAAAATGTGTCAAAAAAGAAGTTGTTACCCAAAATCTCATTCAATGACCTCTTCCAACTGTTAAGTCCAATTAATCACAGAGCAAAGTTAATTGTAAGCACACCTAAAAAGTCATCAGCAATGTCTGTATTATGATAGGAGGCCCAATCTTCAAATATTGTACTGATGCAAATATATTGTGACACCTCAGGACAGATTGTATACCTTGTAATTGTATCATCAAGTCTTGGATGTTCCTGAATATAGGGTGTAATTAGGAATCTGATCAAAACATTTTGTGCAGTCTTGGAGCTATTTCAAAATTTTGCCAAAGTTTCCTTCAGAATTCTGTATGTTAGCTGAAACTCTGTCAAAAGATCATCCAGAATCCTGGACCCATCCCGTCATTTTGTTACAGGGTCCATGAGACTATCCACAAATTGCATTGCACATGGAGGGGGGGGGGGGGAGGGGGTGGGGGAGATGGGCGGGTTGGTGATAGAGCAACACAAAAGTATGACTAGGGAGGGAGGGGAGGTTTTGGATGGCATAACACTATGCTCAGGTGTAGGTGCAAGTCATGCCAAAATGGGAAACACAGATGAGGCCATCAAAGCTGGATACCATCAGCTTTTTAATAATACCAATGCCAATTATTTGTTTCATGTTCCATTGCGTCTGAGGTGGTGCTACTTTTTGTGACGTTTAGCCTAACAAAGCATACCTAAGGGGAGCAGTGGCTCACCAAGCATGATCAGTGCATAACCAGGGAGAGATAGGGTTAGAAAATGATAAAAATAAGCATCATATTCATGGATGGTCCCCTCGAGGATTCAGAATATCACTCTAGCTTTGACAGACAACCATCCAGGACCTGAAATATTGTTCATAGATCCAGATGCTTGCCTGGCTTTAAGTGTTTTGATGAACATTACATGCCAAAATTGAAAACATTGTTTTGCATGCATCTGCAGTGTGATGGCACATGCCTACTTGAACCATTCAGCATTAAGAATAAAATACACATTTAAAAAATTAAAAAGTAAGATTAAAAATATTCCTACTGACTATGATCTCACCATATTATAAAAAGAATCTTACTTTTTCAGGCAACAAAGTAACCTTATTTCAACATCAACCAATGCCACCTAGTGAACTGTGGTTGAGAATATATCCCGGATGTTAATGAAGATGTGAAATTGGGGAATTGAGGGTTCTTTCATCCAAGAGGACTAATTTTGTTTACCAGGGGCCTATTTTGTATTTGAAGGACATGTTTAGGTTGAAAGTGTCATTTTCATGCTATGAAGCTCAATTGCTTATAGTTAGAAGCCCTACAGGTATCTTTAACTCTCTACAAATTATTAGAACCTTCAGAACTGGGGTGTCTGCCACTTCCTTGGGAAACCTGCTCACAACAGTCTTCCCCTGGAATGCCACTATGATATGTAGTTATTGCAAATGATGCACAATGCCTGACCTTCATTTCAAGTCAACACAACTAATTTTATCCCATCACACTACAATATTTTGACATTACCTTGTAGAACAAAACCAATATTGTAAACACTTAAGAAAAGGCAAATATTTTCTAGTCACTGAATCATTATAGAAATAATGGAAATTCCAGAAATTGTTTGACCAACCATCCCTGTGATGACATGAGGAATGGAAATTTGCAGCATTCCCCATGCCTCCTTCATAAATAGACCTGTGGGCAGCTAGCGACAAGCTCTAAAATGATTATGCTTGCAGTAACAAATCAGAAGCAATTAATTTCATGATAGTTGCATGATATAATTTAGCAAGAAAGACAATGCATTTGCAACCGCGTCATTCCGCCTCCTACGAACATTGTCGGCATGCCCCAGCTGGGAGCTTCGATCGTACGAGACACACATTCGCTGCACCAATCAGAGCGCACGTTAATCGTCGGCGCATGCGCGAAGCCAGGCCGCGGCCATTACTGAAGCAAGAAGCAGACGAAAAGGCTGCGTTACCAACATTTCCCGATCGGTAAGTTTTCGTGAAAACGCCCCTAACATGGTCATAATATACACCATTTTGATCGCCATCGTTTGCTGAAATGATTGGTCATTAATTTGAGTGCCTTAGTTAAAGATGAAGTGAAAAAATCGTGATCTAGCGGGAGCTGCGCGGACGCGTCCACCCCCAGCGGGCATCTGCGCCAGCACGCCGCAACGTGGGCAGAAATTGCCGATTTTTTGCCATCACCGGGGTCGTACGACTGTAGAAAGCTTACATTGCTATCCTCGTCCAGTGCAGACAATAATCTCTTCTTGACTTCCACTGGAGAATGCCGCATTAGGCCAGGAAAAGGCACAAAATCGCAGCTCCCCACCGACGCAGCCTCGCCGTCGCACTTCCATGAGACATCTGAATTGCGGCGCATTCTGGGTAAAAATCCGTGGTCAGCTGATTATGCCGTCGATCGGAAAAGGAAAAATGACGTCAAAACGGTGCTGAAGTTGACGTTATGACGTCATCGGTGGGTCTTCTATATATACGTGAAGGTCGGTTGGTCGACTTTCGGGACTTGGCGGCCGGGCGGCGGGGTGGGATGGTCGTCGCTCTCTGTTGCGGGCGGCGTGGCCGCCTGGTGCCCGTTCGGTCGCTTGAAAATGGCGGATCGGTGTAGGATCCTTCCAGTCAAAGTGGCATGGGTTTCACCTATAAAATTGTAAAATAATTGTTTTTCAAGAATTGATTGTAGTATTTGTAAAGTAAAAACTTTTTCATGATTCTGCCGTCAATAATCGTTCGCGGCTGGGGGTGCCCAGTCAGCTGCTAGGCTGATAGGCGTAGAACGGAGGACTGGAGGGTGGTGTGAGCCTTGGTCCCTCCACTCCGTCCGTCCATGGTTACGGGTCGGTCGGAATCCCACGGCCCTCCACGTTTATGAGAGTGACGTAAAAGGGGGGTGGCGCCCGATTGGCTGGAATTAGAACACAGATAAGCCGTGTCTGATTCGGTCTACCGGGGTTGGTTGCAGCTGGCCGGTTTTCGGCTCGGTGGGTTACCAGCTCTAAACACTGGCAGCTAACCACCAGCTGGATGATTTTTATCTTGCCAGACAGAATGGCAAACAAGGGGTAGCTATTTATATAGATTGATTATGCTGCGGCGCAACATGAGTGGCTGTAGATAATCGGACATCGTTTCGAAATCTTGAATTTACGGTTTGCATGTTGATTATATAATATTATGTGGGATCACTCGGCTGTTCAAATCTGGTGAAGGTACGTTGGAATGCACGAACACACCACTATGAAGCTAGAACCGCGGTCTGAGGTGTCAGATGCGAATGGGATTTTTTACCTGTTATTAAAAAAATGGTGTCTAGTTTCAGGCAGTCTGCAATAGTTTCTAGTTTCTAGTAAATAGTAGTTTTTAGTGAGCTGCAATAGTTGCAAATGATCGAGAGGTACCCTGGATTTCATGTGGTGTATGCATGTCAAATCCGCGGTTCTAATCCGTTGACATGGCTTTGGGGCATGTGTTTTTCAGACGTGCCTCCTCCCCACTGCTAACTGGGTCGGCAAGCGCCCCTGCGGCGAACCGGCTGATGCGGCTAGCCGATGATGGCGGCTGGCTGGCTAGCCGGCTAGCCGCCAGTCAGCCTGAAAGCCGCTAGCTAGCCGCCTGAAATTCCTCCCCAAGACCCCAGGTTTTCTATTAAAATTATTGTTTTTTTTATACAGTTGTGTTATTGGACTCTTTACTTATCACCATAAATCGCACATTGCGCCCAGAGTTGGTTGATATTGATTAGTCTCAGGCAAAAAGTGTGTCAGTCGATCTTGTAACTGAATGGTATAGGAAAAATGTTTGCGAGATGACAATACCTCATATCTGTATGATTATGGTACCCAGATCTCCATTCTAACGGAACCTCGCCAATGTGGGCGGCGTCTCAGACGTGACGCCGTCGGGCATCGTCAACGCCAAAGCCTTCCCACGCCATCAGCGGTGAATTCACTGGCCTGTTCAAACCGATTCGCC